TATCAAGGATTTTGTTCAAGTTTTTATTTAATTTATATATATATATATATATATATAAATTATATTTAATTTTTATTATATATTTAATTATATATTTAATTTATATATATATATATAAATTAAATAAAAACTTGAACAAAATCCTTGATAAAAAATAAATATCGTATCACTGCGGCATTTATTTCAGGTCTCTTTCAAAACCAAGCATTGTGAAAACCTGTAAATCTTCATCAATGGAAAAATGCAATCGTCTGCAATCTGATTTCATTTATCTATTTAATATTATTATTTATATATAATTTATCAAGGAATGCTCTAATTGACACTGAATTGAAAAACTGAAAAACGCTACCATTTGTTTGTGTATCTCACAACTGATAACATATTGCAGCAATGATGTTTGCCGAAAATCTTATGCTAAAAATTAATATGAAGTGTGGCGGCACAAATTGGCGGATCAGTCCCGAGGATAAGCCAGCCAGGCTCAAAAGACCGTATATGATTGTCGGAGCCGATGTCAATCATCCGGCCCCCGGCGATAAATCCACACCGTCGATAGCGTCAATCGTTGCCTCATTAGACCCATTGCCATCGAGATATTATACGACCACATCTGTCCAAACGAAAAGCGACGACAAGAACCGAATCGAGGTTATTGTGGACCTTGAAACGATGATGATCGAATGTTTAGAGAAATTCCAGGAAACTGCAAATGGACGACTTCCTGAAGTTATATATTACTATCGGGATGGCGTCGCCGAATTACAGTTCGAGGGTGTGAGTAAACATGAGTTGGACGTTTACTTTAGATTTTATGAACATAGAGAAGCGTAATATCCAACCAAAAGTAAGACACAACTGGTGTTTCGTCTTATATGTAGGAAGCTATTTTAATTTCAAGTATCACGGACACTACGTTGGGGTGTTTGTATTACGTTTGTTTTTACCTTTGCTTAATAAAGAGGTAGAGTTTGTGAATATAGTCAACGGAGCGAAACGAAACGCATTTCGCTATATCGTGGCTGGACGCGTATGAACTAATCAACCCTTTAAAATCTTTCCGTCAGGTGCGTAACTACGAAATGATCGCTATTCGAAAGGCGTGCCACGCAATAAGGCACGACTATGCCCCTAAAACGACCTTTATTATCGTCCAGAAGCGTCATCATATCCGTTTTAAACCTAAACAAGCAGTTGGAAGAAGCAAAAACGTTCCGCCGGGTCAGTAGCGCACGGCGCCACAGAAATCTAATATCGATTGCCATTTCACAAAACAATCAGCCAACATTTCGGAATTCAATATTCATTACCCTTACTTCCAGTCCAATATTAGCTGTCAAATTTCTTGGCTTTTTTTGGCAAGTATCTGCTTTTGCTCGAAATGTACGATCGCAGCTGGGCGGTAACGATTATGCCGTGCATTGTTAGCAAAAGCTACCGATAAATAGTTCAAAATTACAGCTGTTAGTTACGTTCGAATAAGATTATTTTGCTTTACTACAAGAATTATTCTCATAACTTGCGCAGTTGTCAAGATAGACAACTTTCTCACAAACATGAACCCTTGCAAAGCAGATAATATTAACAAATCAAAGGTTGCCACCAAATCTGTTTTTCCTTGGCAATCCCACGCTAACCTCACTATGATATGTTAAACTATACAGGAACGGTAGTTGACACCGATATTGTCCACCCGCAGCTGCTCGACTTCTACCTCTGCTCCCATTATGGCCCTCTGGGAACTTCGATACCTGCCCACTACCACGTAGTTCACGATGACGCTGACCATACTCTGCAGGAGATTGAAGAGCTTTCGTATTTTCTGTGCTACACGTATGCCCGCTGCCCCAAGTGCGTGCAGACACATCTATTTGATTATTTCTCCGAAAACTTATTATTCCTATAAACATACGTACTATCTATGTAGACGTGTCTGTTTGTGAATTCATCTCTAAGTGTGTATAGTTAATAGAAACGCGGCCACAACATACAGTCGTCGACTGTATTCTAGTCATATATTACTGAGCACAAAGCCTAGCCTGCGAATACTGATAATATTATTACTAACAAAAAAACAAACAAAAATCCAGTGTCAGGCCGTTCGTAAACATACGCTACACCATATTATCGCGTCGTGAGCTAGTATTATTCTGAGACAAGACACGAGGCTGCACCAAACTAATTTGTGTTCTTTAGTTAGCTAATACGTATAAAAAACATAAGTGTGACAAACTTTATTAGCGGTCATTTAATGTCAGTGACATGCAAATTCTCCTAGCGACAAATAGTAACTTTAATGATTGTGTTCCAACTACTCATTGTCCACTTTGCTTCTTTTTTCATGGTGATTTCAACGTGGCTGACGAACCAACGTTAACTAGGGCGGTATCGATTCCTGCACCTGTGTACTACGCCCACTGGGCGGCCCAAAGAGGAAAGGAGTACATCAAGGCTAAGATCTTCGGAGATAGTTCTTCAGGGTCCATTGCATCAGGATCGTCCAGCTACAAAGTTGATGATTTTCGGCATGCTCAGGAAGTCGCTAAACGTTTCCGAGGACAAATGTATTTTATTTAACTACAAAAAAAAAAGTCACGAATTTGAGCCCTCACTGCTGCAACACCAACCGTGGCCGAGATTCTGAATACCAGAAATAGGACACAACTAACCTGATGAAGCGAAGAATAGAAGTATTAATATGAACGATAACACTAAATGTAATAAAGGCAGGGAGTAACGATTTTGCTGATGATTGGTTTAACAAATTGAAAAGTGAAATTAATGTTTGGCAGTATAAATGGTAATTTTCTACCTTATTATCTAGTGCTGACCTTTTGTATTGCAACATTTTAGAGCATAGACTACCACGAACGAAGCCAGTTACGATTATGGACACCTTTGATCAACTACTGCTGAAATAATCTACTTGTCTCTATCCAGTGTGACTTCCTATAGCAGAGGATCCCATCCATATTACGATAGTTGGTCCGAATTGAATCCGAGTTGAATTAAACGATTGATGGTGCTCCATATAATATTCCACGATGCTTAAAATTGATATCGTTTGCATGATAACTACGTGGCAACGAGCTAACATTAGAAGCATGCTTGTTGATACGGGAACAATCATACCTATATATAATGGTAGATAGATCTTGGGTTAGGGTCCATGTTGATGATGATTACTGAGCGGTTCACAAACTGGCTACGACGATTTGGCGAAGAGGTAGTACTGACTTTTAATTTTATTAGTACGTCACTATGTAATATTTCAACCTACTCTGAATTTACTAAAACCATTTTTTTTTTGTTAACAACTGTTGCACTGTTCAGCTGGCTCTTGGGGATCCTGATCCATTCGATCATGAAGCTAATGAGTACGAAAAGGGCACTCATCCTAGGCGCCAAGCGCTTAATAGGCTTTAGTTTTCGCAAGAACAATATTTTTCGACCTTAAGGCTAGAGAGCGACGGAGGAATCGAGCTGATCCGGGTAGTCATCCAACACAATAGTCACCCTGAGACTTTGGCAACAAAAAAATAAAATGCATTTCTCGGACTAGATTCTACAGTAAAGGAGTAATCATTCTGCATGAAAAGCGAATGCCTAGAAGAGCTGGTGGTATGCTAATTTGCTTTTTCACGCAGTTCCCCACAGGACACAGGCCTTTATAGTTACCTGCAATGTGCTAAAAAAAGCTCCCTCGATCTCTTGTGTTCTGTATACAAAGGACAACTAAGATACCCGACACACGGTTGCCTAGAGTAGCGCACTTGACTACATCGCCAAGCTTTTCCAGACGGTAATATTTCAATAACCTTAGCAGAGGATATAAGCATCCAGAAAATAATGGAAGAGCTGTAACAAACGAGTTAAAGGACCCTTACTAGAAAAACATAAGCTACCCAAGACAAGGGCGGCAAGATTCGCAAAGATAGAGAATGCTCAACAGGAAGTCTAAACTGGCTTTCGAGGCTGTTTAAGTAAACGTAAATAGAGGAATAACAATTCGGGCTGCGGGTCTAAAAAGGGGGCACTACAATTCATTTCGAGTGTTCAATCTATCAAAGTGTTGAGGGTACTTAACGAAATTCTGAGTTTAGCCAGCTGAGGTTGTTTCTGTACATTTTGCAAGTGTATATTTGGCCTATGTAAAAGTAAAGCTGGGTCTTCTGCAAAAAATGGGTACGACAGATCAGCTAACTCACCCAGAAACCAATTCTAATCACGACTGTACATGCTCGGTTGTTTGGTTTGTAGGTAAAGAATATCTTCGAATACCATTGAAGTGCCATTTGAATACACTTGTATACAAAAAATGTCCTTGCTGATTATTACGTTATAATATTACGTAGTTCTGGAATAGTAGAAATCATCGAATGTCGTCCATTTCGCTTAAATGCGATTCCACAAATGGCAGCAAATTTTTTGCTTTCTTATTACATAGCCTTCTTTAAAGTGGAGGTAGCGAACAAAAGCGATTGCAAATAACAATGCCACGGCACAAATCGCTGTACCCCTTATATGATCGATTAGAAACGGTCGCTATCGAGAAAATTCAGCCCGAGCAAAGGAAAAATCAATGCGTCGGTAACGGTAGCAAATAAAAGTGCAGGCTACGTTTTAGGACATACCTCGAGAATTTGTTTACAAATTTTGTAGAAAATGTACAAAAGGCAATGTTTCTACGGTGTATATCCTTGAGTGCTAGGGTGAATTAAAGTGCTAGTAATGTAAATTGTGTGGGCACCACCACAGGCGTCAAAATAAAAATGCAGTAAATGCAGTCCTGTTCTGTTCGGGAAAATTAACGACTTTTTAAAGTTTGGACTATTTCGACTGGTTGTTGTTGCCGTCGTCGAGCCTAAGGCCATAGCTTGTTTCAACAATTACTTCCCGTTGCGTTTTAGATTTTTCAAGTTGAGTTCTTTAATTCGAGTTCCAGGACCGAAGAAGGGTGACAGTCAACTAGCTGTGTGCAAATTATACACACTTTAAAGAGAATATCCGACAAAGAATAAAATTCAGTTTTCGAGGGTTACGGTCGGTATTGGGAACATAGAGAAATCGACCTTGTCTACAGGTTCCCAATAGCGTTAATGGACGTCACCGTAGGGAAAAAATCAAACATGTGAGCCTATAAATGCCTCGAAATTCTGTTGCTTAATTACACATTCAGTAGCTGTGAGTTTAGCGAATAGTGAACCGAAAGTACGTCCCACACTTCTGTAGCAGAAGTGAAACTTGGTGACCTCTGAACAAAATCAAAAAGTCTCATATTCGAGGGCACGTTAGAGAGCAAATCATGAAAATGCTTCTAGATTACGTAAGGGCAAACGCGTAAATCTTCTTGAAGAGTAAAACAAATGATGAATACATTGATTGTGTTACAATAGGAAATTGCTTCAAGAAATAGACTAGCAACTTTGCAAGAAATCCAAAGGGAAGTCTCTTCTCTATATCAAATATGTTCTCTAGTATCTATAATCAGCTTCATTCTGACACCATCTAACAGGCCGTTTCATTCTGCTTGCACGCGATATCAATAAACTACTTATGCATTAAGGATTCTATGCGTACTCGCGGACATGTTGAAATCGTTTGTTACCTATAGAACATCAATACGAAATTGGATAATTTCCTAATACGAGCTTCGGTCGTTTTTGTCGACGCTTCCAATATCAGCCCCGGTCAAGGTTAATGTATCAGGCTGATGACTTCGCGATAATTCTCAATAAAATCAATTTATATTTGTGATTCACGGACACAGGTCGTTTCATAATGTCCGATAAGCTCGTAGACTAATTAACGTACCATTTCTAGCTCTTTGGTAAAAGGAACTCAGAGTTCATGGTAGTTTTAGATAGACGCTTCCAACGAAGAAATCGTTCTTTCTTCTTCAGATGAAGCGTGACTGCATGCTCTAGGGATTTCATGCGGTTATTTCAGCTTTTTAGTGGTTGATTTAGAATATTATGTACATCAAGCGCCGCGTTTCTTCATGGAACTTATTACTCACCCTCGACCGATTTCAATAAAGAAAAACGCTTATTGTACTTGTATCGTAACATGGGCACAGACATGAAGCGTCTGTTGTCGAATGAATACGGTATACAAGCTACCATGAAATAAAAATCTTCTTTTGGCATTGTAACGTTGTGGGAATGAGGTACAAATACCACGTCCCGGTAATATTAATATCTTATTTAATTATTTCATTCCCCTAAGAATGACATTGTTGGTGTTGTAATTCCAGAAAATCTTATTCCGAAGAAAAAAAATAGTTAAAACGGCAGCTTCTTATCTTCTAAGTCGAAACTAAGACTGATATGTAGAATACATTAGACCTCGTATTAGAGTCGCAATTGGAAATATAAAAATAATAAGCGAAAAACAATGGATCAGTAAGTGAGCATGTTATAAAACCGGCTGTCATCCGAGGCTTATAGTACAATTGATGCTATGTGAATCGAAGTTAAACTTTACGTCAAGTTCGGTCCCTCCAGTGCAGAACTCAAATTGATTGTTTAGTTAAGTTATCGCATTATGATAATTCCTTAGTAAAGTTTTGCACTTACACGGTATTCGCGGTAAGTGTTTTCCTTCAGCGGAACTCAGTGCTGCTGAAAGCTGAAAACTCGGCTGTTGAAACCGTCCAGTTGTGTAACTTGTCTCCGTTATAATGCAGTAGTGACAAAGCGCATATATATAATCTGTTTCGCGATGCTTAACGGCAGTACCGGGCGTGAAATCGTGTCACTTTTTTTCATATCGTTTATTCTAAAGCAATTTACCTAAAACTTTTTGTTGAAACGCGTCCATAATCGACCCGCACCAAAATAAGCTACCTGGACTAACTAATAGGTCGTTTTGTGTGGGCTGCATGTTCGTATTTGCAAACTCGTCATTGTCAATGTCGGCTGCTGGCCCTCCATGTAAGTCGTGGCATTAGCAACCGTGACCATTATATGCACGCTATTTAGTTTATTCGGATAGTCCTACGTTACTACTTGAGGTCAACGAAGAACATGTTGGAAGGCACGAGATAACGAACGATTTCGACCCGGCACGAATGCCCTCGCACGCGTTCATCGTCAGTTACGCTGCACGTTTCATAGTGAACGCATCGGGGCTAGTGTGTCTCTATGATGGACAGACGGAAACTAATGAAAGTTATGTCGTTTGACGTTATAGTTTTGCTGTCAATAGAACATTTTCTTTCTATTGTCATCATCCGTTTCCTATCCATCCTCGCAGCGCAAAAAATAAAGGTTAGCGTAGCAATAAAGTGGAATCGTTGCTTATATTATGCCTTTACGGGAGCAACCACGTTAAGCTTACGTACCAGCTTGAGAACATCGCCACGAACAAAAGGAGCTGTTTAAGGGCTTTGCCTGAAACGTGTCTTTTAGAACAGGACCATGCGAATGCATACGATGTAAGTCCCGGTTAAAATCTAGTTGCACGCAACACAAAATTAGTTAGGTGTGGTATACCACTGACATTATGATACTTAAATAAGATTAAGCGTCACGATTGTAAGGCATGAACCCGCTGTAAGACCTTTCAGAACGACTGTTGTGTTTACGCCGCATAGCTAAAATAGGTCCCTGAGATTCGAAAGGAGACACATTACTGTTCAACCATTAAAGGGACAAAGACGGCACAAATTATAGCTACATAGTTAAACATGCGCATCAACGCATATGGACAAAATACATATGTGTATACAGGTGCTATCAACCTTGTAGTGTGCCACTGAAGTCTACGACACCGAAGACTCGAGTGAGTTTCGCCGCTTGATAGAGAAGCATATGTAGCGTTTGATAACACGCGGCTAGTAAATAATTCAAGCCACAGATGCGGCACGAATAACCGGTTTTTCTATGAATCCACACGTACAAACGTACTGAAAACTTATGTGGCGTAGTTCAACGCCGAGTACCCGAAAGCAGCAAAGGACTCTACCTTATATATATATATATATAAGTTTTGACCAATATATTGTATATGCACTTCGTGATTTTATTTGGATAGGCTTGTTGATAACGTGTGGTCTGTGGATAATGCCTTGTAGAATAAATCTCATGATGATGACTGCCCCGATAATTTCGGTGCCTGACGCCGCGATGGGACGTTTTTATCGACAATACATAACGACAGCTAGTGCGGTTACTTGGGCACATATTTTATTTCGTGCCAGGAGGGGTCAGTCGTTCGAAGCAATGATCAATGGTAGTAAAACCCGAAGCTGGCAGAGTTTTGCACAAAATACTCAAAGCATTTATTATTTTGCAATATAAAAAAGCAATAGGTCTATAACCATCAATTATACGAGTACCGTTTGCGTTTGAAATATGTTTTTTCTTTCTGGCCTTCGTGGCCGAAACGTATTCTTAAATAATGATTTGGTTTGTCATATGAGCTTACGCCTATGTGGTCAGCCCAGCAGTGCTATGAGAGCATCTGCTTTACGCAAATTTAACGTCAATGAAATAACGCTGATTATTAATTGTTATAGATAGTTAAAATGTACTCTTGGTAGATAGTAAATTGTATCAATAATCTAAAAACCGTAATATTTAACTAAAGTTTCTACATCCAAGATAATTATTGTGCATACGGTAAACGTAGACGCAGGGAATGCTATGTTCCACGAACGAATTGCCACGTTCGCTAATAGGTAAAATTTTTCTTGTCTACGTCACATGTTGAAGGCCGATATCTACGAGGCCAAACCTATAAATTATTATATAGTTTTTAACAAGCCGATGCAAATTAATAGAATAATTTTTTTTAATCGCCAGAACCATATTCCAAGACTAGTTTATCTATCTTGATTCGTTTTTTGTTTGAACCATACGAAATTAACGCTTTCCGCTAATGGATTTTCAGCGATACCCAACCAAAATTTCGCTAAACGTCTTTAAACGTATGTAGTTTTATTATAGGTCGAGTCATAAGAGGAATACGTTTTTCACACTAGGTTTTAGATCTAGTTGAGTTATTATTAAGAAGTTTACGTCAATAAACGACCTAATAGCGGGTCTTCCAAACGAATGACCCGTTAGACAAACCAACCTCCCTATGAAGAAGCGGCAGCTTACCTCCATTAAACTGAGTTCAATTGAAGGCCCTATCAACGAATTTTTCTCGAAAATACTCACAGCTGACACTTATTAAGCCAAATTTTGCATTATCGGCTCTGTTTGTATACGGTTTACCAGAGAGTAGCATTTACTATTACGACGTGGATGTTTCCTATGCGCGTAGATGCAACGATACGCAAGGGAATATCAGAGCAAAAAAAATTCCCCCTACAATTCAACCGTTGTTAATCGGATGATCATAGCAATACTGGCCGAAATACGCAACGAAGGGCTTGGTAAATATTTGTTAGCTTTTAATGGTCGTAAGAACGTTCATCCTAAGCATCGCCTGTCGTTTGAGGCGATAAAATCCTATCATTTTGTTACTGGACGCATTCGTCCAACCCCAAAAGGTCAGCAAAAAATGTGTGGGCCTTAACGCTTGTCAAAAGCTTCATGGCAGTAAAACCAGCGATGGCATCCCTCTGGTGAGTCGTATGCGTGTTTATCACATGCCTTGAATTTTTATTCAAGGTCTTATTAGTTGAGTACTTTTTGTAATGCCTCCTTAGTGGCGTGAATGAAATAAAATCGAATAAATGGCGCGAATATATTTTATCGCACTAGTTTACGAAAAATAAGACGCGACTGGTCCCCTGTGTACCATTGGCTTCTTGTCGTGCTGTTTTTTTACATGGGAATCGACTGTCTAGTCCCACGAGTTTAAGGTTACCATTAAAAAAGCGACGAGACCCGAGGGTTCGCACTTACGATGACATACGCGAGTCAGGTTTCGTTTGATCCCCTCCATGTTGCGTACGATGGTCAGGGCTCGCAGAAGTACTACCAGACGGCGATCACCGCCGCGGACATCATTCTACGTATAGTTCCGGTATCGGCTTTCCCTCGTGTTGGATGCTTGTTTTTTACCTGTCAGAGGGTAGGCGGATTATTTTGAGCTTGTGCAATTGGTATTGTAGGTTAACAAGCCACAGAACATCCAGCACAGGATTTTGCAGCCACTGATATTTTTTTGTCTACCCAGTGTCACTTCTTTTTCCATTAGAATTTATAAGTTATTCGTTTACAACAAACATGAGAGTTTCCGTGGATGTGTATAGGCTAATACAGTGAACATTTGTTATTTGGTGACGTTTCCATAGACAACAAAGTATATCATACCGTTCCGCCGTTGCTTCCTGCCCGTTACTCCAGAACTAGTCAATGCCGGCAAGGAATGTTTTGCTTATATGTACAACATTCTCTAATAACGGCACGAATGCGGAATATACAAAGAATATGTCTTTGAATGGTCTTTGAATAAATTTTGGTTTTAATTCTGCAGAACAATTACCCTAGCCTACAGGACCGTGAAGCGTGGTCAGGATTTCACATTGCCATAAGGCTCGAACAGTGGAAGCCGCTTCTGGGTACTGATGTAATTTTTTGTAAGCCAATCAAAATGTTCAAGTTCGCTAAAAAGACACTTGGCGGCAGGGGCAATAGGAGTTTTGGGCCGAAACTGATAGAAAAAGACCGCAGCAGTCTAAAAGGAGTTGACTGGATTGCCTGTCACAAATAC